GTGTGGGGACAGGACGGTGCCCTGGGGGACACCGGCCTCCATGGGACGGGTGGTGGAAAGGGAATCTTGGATTTGGATGCGGAATTTTCGGTGGTGTAGGTAGGATTTTATGAGTTTGGTAAAGGATATGGGATATTGGTTGGTGAGCATTTTCATCAGTAGGCCTTCATGCCAAACCGTATCGAAGGCCTTTGCGACGTCCAGGAAGACAGCACCAGTGTACTGTCCCCTGTTGAAGGCCGCCGTGATGTGCTCGATAAGGCGAAGGATTTGGAGTTCAGTGGAGTGATTGGGTCGGAAGGAGAACTGCTCGTCTGGAATGACTTGCAGTTCTTGGGAGTGGGTCAGGCCTACACGAGATGAGGCAGGATAAAGAGGGATAATCCCCCTCGATCCCAAATCATTGAGGCCAATTTCTAGCCATAGAATAATGGCGCGCGGCGCGGCGCGGCGCGCGCCTATGGTGATATCGAAATAAAAGCAGAAGAAGAACAGATTGACTAAACAAAAATTAATACGGCTAACTTCGTAAATTTAAATTATTTCGGTGTTTACGTAGGAAGAAGTTATTTTAATTTGACTATCAAATGATAAGACAAAATTATCTCTTAATGATTGTGTATTACATTTGTACTTGTATGTTTCTAATAGGTAATCAATTATGTACGCATCTGTAAGATCTTCAAAGGTAAAATGGCTTTTATTCTAAATTTATATATCTAACTCCTAAAATTTTTATTTTTTAGAGTGATAATGACAATTTTCAAAGACAAGGTTCATTACGAAAAGTTATACCACCTGAACATACCAGGGAAAGTTTATTTGATAGACAAAATGCAGACTTCGATAGAGTATATAAAGTTTATCGGCAGGAATATATCATTTTAGCCGAGTAGTAAGTGCACAATTTAGTTGTACAGGGTGTAAGTAAAATACTTGGTCAAACTTCAATGGTAGATGATACATTATACTTATAAAATATATTCCTATGAATGAGTTTAGAAGCACTTTGTCTTCCTGATACAGTGTCCAAAATCGATGAAATAATATTGTTTACTTAATTTATGGTTAATGTGACTAGCAATAATTGTTAATGGAATGCTATTTTGCAATTTATCACAAAAATAGTGCATCTGGATACCTTTAGCGAAACCACACTTGAAAAGCTTTTGGTGTACTTAATCTTAATGTGTCCATTTGAAATATCTTGTAGGAAAACTGTGACATCTATATACGTATGTGGACAATCAAAGACTAAAACTACATACCAAATTTGAATTGGCTCATTTTAACCATTTTTTGAAACTTAATATCTTGAAAAATAAACTTTTTGATAATTTTTTACCTAGAACCTACCATAAAATTTGTCCAAGAATTTTTGTTACATCTTGTATATCGACTTAACAAAAATAAAATTATGTTTTTTCTTCATCTTTTCTCATAGATGATTCGAGTCTTAAGTAATTTTTCTTAAAATAGAAGAGTAGATAAAGCCTTTTAGTTTGATGAGCTGTAACAATGAAATATTTGTTTTCAGTAAAATGATTCAAAGTGAGAATTTGCAAGGTGTTTATGTGATTCCGTCCAAAGAAAGTTCACTGAGTAAGTTTTTATTTTATCCTTTAGAATTTTTTGGTACATAAGTATATTGTTTTTAGAATGGTTTGGAGTTATTTTTGTGAGAAGCGGGCCTTATGAAGATGGAATATTTCGGTTTAATATATTATTAGATGAAAACTTTCCAGATAGTGAGCACCCTGTAAGATTTTCTTACATCATTACTAAAGTTCCACCAAAAATGCTTTACTGTATTTATTTTTTAGAAAGTAATTTTCCAATCTGAGATATTTCACCCTGTGATAGATTCTACAAATAATGAACTAAATTTATTACACGCATTTCCTAAGTGGAACAAAAATGATCAACATATATGGCAAGTGCTAAAATATATTCAATGGATCTTTTATAATACTAATGCCAGTATTGCCCATGCTGCAAATCATGAAGCTGCTGAAATGTGAGTTCAGATCTTAATAATGTAAAAAGTACTAAAGCTTATCTAAAAATCACTGGCGGCTTGTTAAAGGAGGCTGGAGAGGCTAAGCCTCTGTAGTTTTTGATAGTATTGCAAAAGTTTTCTTTTAGTTTTTTTTTATTTTACTTCATAATTAATATTATTTAAGAAATGTTCTTACAAATCTATTTTCATATGCAACTAATTATGTACCTACTAAGGGAGATCTCGAGTACGTAAATATACGATATTTAATTGTTCACTATTTTTCGCGCCCTTCGCATTACAGTTGCTGGCAGCTAACTTCCTCAAGCCTCCAAACCTTTTACTAATGCTCTATAGAATGCGTGGCCTTGAATGATGGTACGATTATTTAGATTCGAGCTTCAGCAGTCGACATGGAGGCTTGTTGCCACCTTCCATCTCTTTTTAATAAGTGAATTCTTCAATTAGCCCTTCTTCTCTTCCACCTCGGCGCTCGCAGTTGTATCATACAGCTGCGTGCAAACTGCGTGTGCGTAACATACAACTTGTATGTTACATTTCATCATTTCAAAATAAAAATTAAAAACATTGGTCATCTGTGATATGGTAGGCGCGATTTGTTTTTAATTCGTGTTTATGTGAAGTTTTTCTTAGGAATTTTTGTGAGATGATCATAATTAATTACATTTTACTCTGGTGCGTACTTAACTTTATTAAAATAAAATGAGTGCAGAAAACGAACATAACCTCAACAACTTCTTTAGTTGCATTTAAACAGAATATTGTAAACGCTTTATGGCCCATTTACACAAGGCCAGTTGTGAAGACATTCCACTAAGCCAATCCAACATTGGCATCGTGTAAATAGAGACAGTCCTGTAAATGGAATGTCTCCAGCCATTGTCCCAAGCCACTCCACTAATTAGAACGGTTTCTAATTTTAGGAGCCAATAGCGTCCCCCACCACTTAAGAAGTGGATTGGCTTGTGTAATGGCATTTGTGAGAACGTACGTTCCTAGCCAAGCCTAGCCTAGCCACCTAGCCACCTAGTCAGTAAGCCAGTCGCCTATGTTTTTGCCGGGCGCACGTGTCTTGGATTTGGTTTTTTGTGTGGTTTACAAAGTTTTCAACATGGTTTTGTCTAAATGGAATGCCCAGATGCACAATTTATATTCTTCAAGATCTTCTGTTTCTAATTCTCTTAAGATAAGCCTTGATTGGCCCATTGTGGATCTTCTGGTTAGCCATGGTCTGACCAACCACCTTCTTTCAATAATTGATTCTTCCTATATTATTTTGAGTATTTCCTGTTGTGTTAAAATTAATACTTTTTTCAATTTAGCTCAAAGCTTTTCACCCTATCCATTCTACACAACCGTATATACTAGACCATAGATTAAACAAAGATACTAGCCTGGCGGATGGCGGACTGGCCTACGTGTAAATTTCAATTGAATTTTTATTGGATTGCCTTCAACTTTGTCATTGGATTAGCTTAATGGAATGTCTTCGCAAATAGCCTCGTGTAAATGGCCATTAGATTCTGTTCACAAAACAGAAATACAACATTATAATGAGAAGGTTCGTGAAAATAGAAATATTTTAAATAGACTAATCGATGTAGTAATATTTTTATCGTCTCAAGAAATTTCGTTTCGCGGACATGATGAAAAAGTGGATTCCGCTAATCGAGTGAACTTTAAAGAGTTAATAAATTTATTAAAAACATACGATTCAAAATTGCAGAATTTCTTAGATAATGCCACTGTTTTTTCGGGAATCTCTAAAATCATTCAAAACAATTTAATTGAGTATTACTTCAATTATCAAAAGTAAAATTTATGACGAATTAAATAATTGTGAATCTTTCTCCTGGCAAGTTGATGAAACCACAGATGTTACTTGTAAGTCTCAATTATCGGTAATTTTTAGATATGTAGTGCATGGAGAAGTTGTTGAAAGATTTATTGGATTTTTTTGACGTAACAAGTGGGAGAGATGCAGATAGTTTGTTTAAATTATTAATTAATGAATTTAGAAAATTTGACGTAAAAAATAATTGCTCAAACCTATGATGGTGCTGCGTTGTCAGGTTATGCTAATGGACTTCAAAGAAAAATAAATGACGTCGCTCCTTCCTCAAGCTTATTTTAATCATTGTTATGCACATAAATTAAATTTAGTTTTAAGTAAAGTTTGCAACGGCATTAAAGAAGAGGGAATTTTTTTTCAAATCTCTGGATTTTCGGCATTTTTTCCAAATATAGATACTAAAAGATCTGACGTATTAAATAAAACAATGCAACACAGGATTCCAAGTAATGCTTCCACTCGTTGGAATTTTTCTTCTAGAGCTGTTTTTATGGTCAAAACTTATAGAAAGAAACTTATTGAGATTTTTGATTTTATATCAGATACGATATGAGGATCCTCACAAGGATTTTTTAAATGATCAACAAACTAGGATCCACTTATGGATTAAAACAATTGTTGGACAAAAATTTCAATTTTTTCTTGAAAACCTTGCAATGATTTTTGAACAAATCGTATTCCAAATTTTGCAGAATAAATTAACTGACGTAACATTTTCTAAAAAGAGAATTAATTCACTTTTATCAAAATTAAAAGAATTCTGTAATAATGAGATACATTTCAACATGTTGTATGCAATTTTCTTAGAAGACACTGACGAAACCTTTAACAATGACCGGCCCTCAAAGAAAAGAAAGACAACTGTAAAGTTTTTTATTTCAAGCCTCCTCTGCCAAACATACCACGAGCCGCCACTGCTAAAAATGCAAACCTATCAAAAGTTGAATGACTGTTAATTATGGATTTGTCCTTAGGATGCTATGCAATAAAACAAAAAAATTTAAAAAAAATAGATGAAATATCTAAAAATTAGTTTGTTGCATTTCATAGATTCCTAATAGGGAATTCCGGAACTAGACAACATTGTCCTGTTCACAGATCACCTTTTTCTTAGGTGATTATTTTACTTATTAACGAGTTATTTCTTCTTTTAGATATAGAACTAATCAGAACGCTTTTATTGCTAAAGCGCAAGAAGGGGTAAAACTTAGCAAAGACCACTTATACGATGAGCCACCTGTAGAAGACAAACATTACATAATTTTTGAACCATTTGTGACTGAGGTGCATAATAAAGTAAAAGCCTCAATGATGATTTTTCACGAAGAACCAATAAACAAAGTGGGTCATTCTTGGGTCTTACCTGGGTGCTATAAATCTCTAGCAAGACCTCCTACTCCACCGTCTGAAACAGAATCATGACATAGAAATATTTTATTTTGTTATAAAATTTTAGATGTATATACTATTTAACGTTTTTATACTAGTTGATTGTTATAAAGTATGTTAATTTTGATTTTAAATTTATTATATTGTTTTTACGATCATGCAAAAGTGATTGTTTCCATATACGAACTACAAGCAAAAAGAAATAGGGAAGGTTCCTTAGGAAAATAATGTGTAACAGTGGTTACATAACCTCATATTTTTTTAAAAGATGAAAGAAAATTGTTTTATACAAAGGGGTGTTTGCACAAAAAAATGTGTAGTTTTTTATCAGAATACCAAAGCAAGTATAAATGTGAAATGTACAAACAGTTTTGCTGATAACTCGTACCATAAATTTTCTATTTAAAAAATTTTTATATGAATTGTATGCCACAGTGGTATGAGATTTTAGTTGAGTTTCTCATTAATAGGTTTCACAATTAAGGCATAGTCTAGCATGTAATAGCTGCTTGCTAAATTCATTTCACTTTTCCATTTTTTTTAGTTATCAGTTAAATGATCTGCTGCAAAAATAATTTAACGAATCAAGTTTTTGCACATTTATTTTCCATTTTATAGTAATGGAAAAGATGACAGATTTCCCATTGTAAGTAGGATTGCCAGATCTCCGGGTTTGTCCCGGAGTCTTCGGGTTTTGATGGTATATCTTTGTGCTCCGGGTTAACATGTCATTTCTCTGCGTTTTGTTTGTTGCAGAGGAAAACATTTCTCATATTTCCTGATTCTTCCCTTTTTTTTTGTAGACATCAATTATACAACGTCCTCTCCCGAAATCCCTGTATCTCCTCCGGGTGAGTCAGTAGACATTTTCTGATTACATCCTTTTTTTTGACATTGAATTCTTCGAAAACAATTTGTCTTCCAGGTTTCCTGAGATTGCATTTGCATAAACTTTTTTTTAGGCATCAATTATACAAATGTCTCCAGGTCTGTCATGAAATAGATCTGGTAACCCTAATTGTAAGTATTAAAATATATCAAATGATTATGATGATACTGATTAATTAATAAAATCCAGAACAGTTATAATTTACTGAGATTTAACAAAAAATATTGCAAAATATTGTTCCAAAACATTAAATTTATTATTAAATGTTAGAGAATAAAATATTTTGATATTTAACACTTTTTTTAAAAAGAGCAAATAAATAAATTGCACCCATTATTTTCCGAATAGCGGCTATTTAAGTCTTTTAGGGCAGGTTGTTACCTGAAAAAAATTGGTTAAAAAATTATGAAAAAATATTTTTTAACTTTATGGTTATATAACTTCTTTAATATTGAGTTTTTGAAAATGTATCATGAATGCTTATATCATTATTTTTATGAATAGATTGATCCCCCTTCTTTTCTTACAGTTTCTGGACATTCTTTAAGCAGTAAACGTTTGCAGCATAATTGGAATAAATAAGTCACATTAATTTAGTTTAAATTACTCTAAAAACATTATTTCCTTAAAGATATTTCACTGTAATATACATGAAGAATCAATATTTAGTTCAATTTAAGATCACAAAATCTATATACTATTCTACAAATAAGTGTATGATTATGATGATTCTATGAGGTCTACGATGTTTCCTATTGACCTGAAATTTTATGAGTCATCCATGTTACATCTGAAAATTACAGCTTTATTGATTTCTATTTAATTGCGATATCTGAAATGTTGGGAAGTAATCATTTTTCTTTTCCAATCTTCTGCATATGTGGTGGAAGTGTTTTGACTCTCTTTATGACCTAGTGTCAGTAATTAAAAATAGTAACTTTTAATACAACATTCATAATTAACATTTGAATAAACATTTTTGTATTTCTGTGCAGTTTGTTTTACCACCTGACCTAAGCACCTCGTGCATTGCATATAGAAGTAGGTACTTACCTATTTATATACGCACTTGTTTACATTATTTCCAATGCTCAAAATTATTACACATTCATTAATTTTTTGTTATTTTATTTAAAAATTAGTACACTATTTGTATTTCGATAAACAATAATGCTTTTTAATTTGTTACAATAAATGAAAAGAGAACCATATTTTTTTAATAGTTACTTGAAGAATACTATATTATTTTAAATCGGAAAACTGAGATCGATTTTTATGAGTAATTCAGGAAACTATTTAAATGTTCTCATTTGTGTGACATTTTGTTTTAAACTGTCTAAAGAGCTAAAGAGAAGAAAAAGGAATAGGACATTTTAAAGCGGCCTCTGCTGTGGTTTTTCATGACCTTGAATTAGTCCGTTACATGCTAATCAGGAAATTTAGTACTCTAGACTGAAAGTGGCTAAATCCAATAATCAGGATTACACTCTATTAACAAGAAATTTACCATTATGATTTTTTTTTGTATATGGGGTGTCACCTAACGAATGTTACGTATTTCAAGGGTATAATCTAGAACCCAAATGGTGTCGATTTAACCAAACTTGCTTAAACGAAAAACGTCGCAAAAAGTTACAGGGTGTTAAAGTTTCTTTTTTATTTCTTGTTTTCTCCTTAACTCAGAACCCAGTTAACCAATTTTATTTATTTATTTATTTAGTTGCAAACACTGCCAAGACAGGACGGAGCTCAATTATAAGGCAGGTATAATACAGATTAAAAAACGGATAAAATTTACATTAACATAATTAAAACACAAATAGAAAATACACACTATATATAAATACATAAAAATAGTGACTTAACTTCTATCGAGGATACATCTTTTAATACTGGGAGCATTACAACAAAAAATATCAAGATGATCCTGATAACAATGGTAATTCGAACACATAACAATTATTGGAGAAAATTGAAGAATATTTGTTCTTGGTGTTTTCAAATAAAATAAATAAATGTAGCGAGTTCTATATCCCAAAATATTAAAATTCAAATTTGATTTGAGCAAAATTTGTTGTTGCTTAGTTTCTTTTCATGAAATATGCAGTGATTATGTTCCTATTAGGTTATATCATACAGAGCATCAATTTTACTACAACTATTTGTGAATATTCTGTAACTTTTTTGCATGTTTAAAGTTTTACACGTAACTGTCAGAAATAGGTACACAATTTTATTCTACACAAAAAATGCATACTTATCAAAAGTTGAAATTATGCTTGGGTATTTGAAGATATTACAGAAAATATTTACAACACACCCTATATTTTTTGGAAATAAACGAATTATACGTTCGTCTAACTTATACTGGGTCTTTTATTCTATTCCAAAGTTCTTCTCTCGTATTAGGTGTTACAGAGTTGTAAACAATTCCTATCAAATGACCCCGAAAGTAAAAGTCTAACAGATTTAAATCTAGACAGCAAGAAAGCCAAGGAAAGTCACTACCTCGACCAATCCAACGATTTGGAAATGCTCGATTTAAATGATCTCTCACCAAATGGCTATAATGAGCAGGGGCGGACACTATCGTGCCTGAACCACATTTGTCGTCTAGTATTTCTTATATAATTCTTCGAAAGCCCAGGAAGTTCTTGCCGAAGGAATTACAAATAATTTTGGCCGTTCCACATTGTAGTTGAGCCACAGACTCCAAAATAAAATTTCCCATAATCCCGCACCAGACGTTAATTGAAAATTCGTGTTGGAAGTGATGCTCTTTTATAGTGTGTGGATTTTCTTTGCTCCACGAGTTTTTCCAATTAAAAACACCTCTATGGGTAAAAACAGCTTGATCTGTAAAGGCAATTGATAAAAATCTTCGATGGAATCATCATATTGACTATATAGTGAAAAAGTTGAGAACCTTGATAAGTAGATTTAAGCTTTATAGATGTATATTTAGCGAACGCTATTTAAAAATTCTTTACTATGCCCTGATGCAGTCCCATCTTAGTTATGGAATAATAATATGGGATGGAGCTACAAATACTCATTTAAAAAAGCTTGTATGCATGCAGAAGTGGCTACTTAAGATTATTTGCAGCAAAACTTATTGGTATCCATCACACGTACTTTATAAAGAAGTACAATTATTAGATATCCGTCAGTTATTTTTTCAAAACCTAGTCATTAAATATTATAAAGATAAATCCAGTACCAAAAATATAACTCACTCTTATGATACCCGAATAAAAAACACATCTGTAGTAATACCTAAATGTCATAAAACAATTGGTCAGAGATGTTTCACTTACCTAATTCCTATTGTGATATCTGAAATTCTTCTGCATATAAGAATTAATTCAATGAAGCTACTAAAAAAGACGATACGAAAATGGTTATTAATTACGTCACCTAATAATTGATAGGAAAAATACTTACTGGTTTCAACATTAAACATTCGAGTTCAGTCTACTGGTACCTATCATTATTCTACTATATTCTCCAGATGAAATACCAAACAAAATTGCTGTTATGCCCTGTTCATAATTTGACAAATAATTATAAACCATTGTTCAGCCCACACACAAGTTTACTTTTGTGGGCTTCTCTATATTTATTTTGTTCTTCTAGTGTACTTGTCATTAGTTATCCGACTTATATGTTTCCTCATTTGTCACTTGTAAGAAGTGATTGAATAAAAATATTAAAAAATATAATTCTCCCGAGAAAAGTGTGATCCCTGGTATGCAACTGGAGAAATCGTTCGCAAAATGTTAATCTCGGCAGGTGGTCTGGTTCAAGCAAATTTTGTACATGATGAAAATGGAAACATTGAAACTGCTGAATATGGAGTATAGTTGAAACGGTTTTGCCTCTTAGCAGCGCGTCCACTAAAATGTTCCTATACATATATACCACTATTATGTCTCATTTTATAATTCGTAAATTCATTGTGACGAGACATTTTCAGAAACAAACTTCTGCAAAATACAAACTAGACATTGTCATGTTATGGATACGTAGTTATTTCCAAAAAATATGGGATATGTGTTAATATATTTTTTGTAATAATCTTCACAACCGAGCCAACCATACATTTTTTGTGCAGAATACAATTTTCTACCTATATCAGATACTGCGTGTAAAAACTGAAACATACAAAAAAGTTACAGATAAATATTCACAAAGGGTTGAAGTAAAATGAACACCCTATATGATTTAACCTAAAAGAAAAATTATCACTGCATAGTTCATGAAGAGAAACTAAGCAACAGTAAATTTCGCATAAATCAGTTATCTGGGTTCTGAGTTGAGTTAAGGAGAAAAGAACTAATAAAAAAAAACTAACACCCTGTAACTTTTTTTACGACATTCTTCGTTTAAGCAAGTTTGAATAAATTGGCACCATTTGGGTTCTAAATTATACCCTTCAACTATGTAACATTCGTTAGGTGACACTCTGTATAGTTGTCTGCTGGATGCAGGAGTGACTTAAGGTAAAATCTTCACCTGGGAGAGAGGTAAATATTCTCGCACATTAAAGTACAGTATTCTTGTACAGTAAAGTAAAATAAAATTTCTATTTGCTTTATTAATTTAACATTTTATCAAGAAAAACTATAAGAACAAAAAATAAAAAATATGCAAAGATAACTAGCCACAAACTTAATACTATTAAAAATTAGTTTCCAGATGAAATATCAGACTACCCTTGATCTTTCAGAAAAATTGTTGGAGATTTTATTTATACCTTCATAAATCATTATAGACAGAATCCGGACTATGTCAGTGCTTTCTGAAGTCATTAGGCATTCTAATTTTGCTATACTGTTTTATATTTGTATTTAAAATAACTATTAAAGAAAGTACTTATATGCCAATTGTTTGAATTGGCTTAGTCTTTATTACATTATGATACCAGTGTCTGTCTAAGTTATAAGTTTTGTTTTCATATATAAATTGGGTTGGTGGACTAAATTCCCCTTCATCAAACAAAAAGTATTTGCTAAATTCTATAGCTAACTTGGACCTTATTAGGCCAATGGATCCGGCTCTGTCAGGTGCTGGATGATATACTCTGCCAGTTTCTGGCAACATGAAAATTTTTTCTGGTTGAAATGTTAATGTTAAAAAATCTCCGGCGTGATTATAAGCTAATCTTAATTCTTCTTGATCTTCTTTGTTTAAAACATGTGTAAATACAAACGGGTAGTCGTCACACTTAACAAAATTCCGTTCTTTTCCACAGAGAGAAATATAAGGAAATTCTTTGTAACGTCCTGTAGTATTAATTGTTAAACAATTAAAGAAGAATCTTAAAAATTTTTTTTCCTTAAAACAGGATGTGAAATTCTTCATCCGGGCATCATCTAAAAATAACTACAATACTTTAATAAAATAATCTAAATATTAATAATAATAATAATAATAAATGTCTTTTATTACAATTATTTAGCTCAAGTACATGTACATGTAAGCAAATAGAAAATAATAAGCTTGTAAAGGGGCGCAATGTCAGTTTAAAACTGCTTTTCAACTTAACCCCGAGAAACAGTATGAATAAACAGAAAAAAAATAAATGAAGAACACAAAATACCCTAAGTATTAATTGTCTAATGTGGTATATGTAGGTATATTCTTTTTGAATAAATTGATAACACAGAAAATAAACTTCGATACCACACTTATACATTAAAAATAACGTTTTATTAATTTCATTTAAATACACGTCTACCAATATATACCTACAATGGGTTGTAGGTACATATTGGTAGACATGTGTATAGGTGGGTGGAACACTTCTATAAATATATACAATACCTATACCTAAACATATGACTATACCTATCTCCACTTTTAACAAACAAGTGCAAGTAAGTACTAAAAATACAATGTATGTACGAGTATATGGTCTCCAACCAAAAACTAAGTTTATCTTAAGAGTTATAAGGCCTTTTGAATGCTTCAAAAATTCGTTTTTTGAAGAATAATTATAATTGTTCATCTAATTTAAAAAATATTAATATCATGGGTTTCAATAGGTTTTTCTAAATTTTTATTCATATCGTGTCATTATTACTAAACTGAAATTAAATTTTAATAAAAGTAAACTATAATTACAGTTCAATTTAAATTTGTTTAAAAGAATTATTATTATATATCAGAGTCCTTTATTTGAAGGTGGTAAGTAAATGAACTTTTCCCCACAAATAGAAATAATAATTAGCTCCATATTTTAAAAAACAAAAAAAATAGAGTTTTATAGGAACTTTCGGTGAGAAATTTACATTTTGCAAAAAATATATAGGAAAATTGTAGGTACTTCCCATATAACGGCCTTTATACACCTAAATAATGCACTTAACTTACCATTCCTTGATGATCAATGTAATAAAAGTATTCTCTAATTTTGGGTTCTGGTTCTTGACCTTGAACATAAGATACATTTCTAAAAAATTGGCCTTGCTTATTAATTTTCACACTGGATGATAACAATATCAGATTTCGGATTTCTGTAATCATCTTTTCCTGTTACCTTTTTCTGCACCATTGACAATTAACTAGTTTTAAAAAGTAAATACGCATTTACTTCTATCTCGTATGATAGGTAGGTTATCACCAGTGGCGAGGAGTGAAATTTTTTCATGCGTAGACATTGAGAGAAAAAAATTCAAATTGTGCAAAGAATTAAGTTTAAATAGTAAAGCAAAAAGGAGATTGTTGATTTGACACATCCGCCATTATTCCATGGCTAGAAATTGGCCTCAATGATTTGGGATCGAGGGGGATTATCCCTCTTTATCCTGCCTCATCTCGTGTAGGCCTGGACAGCCTTCGTAGGTGGGCCCCATCCGTCGTCTACCCCGACCGCAAATGCGGCCGGTGTAGGCGCTTTGTGGGACCTCCTTTTGTCCTGGCTGGGCCCCGCCGGCTAGGGCCCTTTCTTCTGGCGCTCTTCTTGCTTCGCCGGCTCGTCTGTGTAAACCCCGGGGGTAGTGTCATGTTTATGTGTGGTATGGTTGGGTAGGGTAGTGCGGCTATGCAGCCTGGGATGCGCTTTGCTAAGG